ATAAATATTAATCTTTTATTTACAATCAGTATGACATAAACTAATACCTTTAGTTTTGTATAATTCTTTTTGATTTATAATTATTGGCCTGAAATTGTTTGCACTTGATATTATCTTTTTTTTTGTATATATAAAGTCAATTATAGTTTTTATTTGAATACTTAGCTATATATATAGTAGTGTTTGTAGTTGATCCAAATTTATTGACTAGACTTAGTCAATATTTAAAAATCGGCTTAGCTGGCTAAATTGTAGTTGATCATCCTAATTGGTTAATTAAAGCACATGAGTTAATATAGATATGATTGGTCAATCTTATTGAATCTGGTACATACATATGTCATACATACATACATATATACCAGTTTGTAGTAGATTATTATTTATCGACTTGATTAAGTCGATATTTAAAACTCGGCTTTGTCAGCTAAGTTGAAGTCAATCATCTTTATCTTAAACTTTTGAAAATTATCAGATAGTTTCCTCATATTTTATGTTCGTTGAATTTCTTTTCAGAATTTTTGAGAAGGATAATATAAACTACCAAATCGGTCTAAATTTGATTGGTTACTGTAATTTTCAATATCATTTAATATAACATCGACTAAGTTGATTTTTTGAAAAATTAGCTGACTAAGCCAGCTAAGCTGATAAAATCGACTAATACAAAATTGACTACAAACACTAATATATAGTATTGAAAGTTTTATTCTTTAGAAAATATTGATTTTTTGTCAAAAAGTATTTCATCTACAAGTATTTTATTAGCATCTTAGACAACTAAATCTACTTTGCAACAATCTATAAGTTTAATAACTTCAAATAATGAATTAAAATACATAACTGATGAGTCTAATGAACAATCAGGCGATAAGTTTGGTAAACAATTGGTGCTTTATAAAGGTAAATATTTATAGTTCTTGATTTAAGAATTAAAAGACAAATTTTATAGTATTAATGTTGTTAGCACAAGTTTTTCAAACTGTTAAAAAAAGCTTATTTTATAGTTAAATCATTTGCTTATTTAAATGGATTCAATATCCAAAAGAATGTATTGAAAAGATCATTTATATATTATCATGCTAGAAAACTACTAAATCAAAAAGAATTATACAAAACTAAAGGTATTAGTTTATGTCATACTGATTGTAAATAAAAGATTAATATTTAT